AACAACCCTGGAAAATCCGAACCCAGTTCTTTTTAACTCTATGGAGACTCCTGAATGATGGACAAAATTAAGGGAAACGCTTTATCAGGCGCGTAAAAAATAATAAAGTGAAATTGCACAAGAAGCAGACAAATGTAGCTCCTTGTCTATGTTACTAGTAAAGCCTCGATTTCGAAGTATACTACGAATGATACAAATGTTTAGAAATTCGAGGAACCTACAAAACCAATTTGGGATTATATAAAACACCATGAGTTTATGGAGTAGAAGGTAGGTGAGAAGAAACACTGAACGGTTACCCTCGCATCAACTACGCTTAACATTTCGTCGCAATCAGTAACACTCACGGACTTTTTCAGGCTAAGATTTTTAGTTGATCTTGGTAATTTCCAGTAAAGAGCACTAAACCATTCCTGACTGTCTGAAAATACTCCACATATTTCGACCAGCCAAACGCGGCCTGAATAAGCAGATAAAAATTTTTTAAAAAAATAAAATTCATAAATATAGCGCCTCCGGCGCTCCTTCCTTCTTCCGGTACAAAACACTTTCTTTAGATTTTTTAAAGTCATCCATTGTAACACGCATGCGCCGCTCCCGTAACGCTAAGAGGCCTGCTTCTGTGCACATCGCCTGAAAATGAAATTTCCATTTTAATACTTTCCGTCGCACTGAGACACGTTTCACTTTATGCTTCTCAAAAGCACTGACGTCCCACATCCGACCAGGCCTTATCGAGAGAAGCTGTCTCTTCACAAACAAGCAAGTTTGGTGGAGAGGAGCTGCCTCATCATAAACGAATAGCGCTGTTCAAAAGACCGTGAAAGATCAGGCGTGGCTCAGAGAAACAAGTTCGTACGTTACGCACATTGATACGCGAACTACTTCACTTCGCAAATAATTTAGTTAGAAAGTATATAAAAAAACCAGTCCATGCATTACCAAAGTGTTACATTTAAAACATATTATTCGCCTATACGAAAGAAAAGGACCGATGTCAAGGCTCAAAATCTAAATAACTGTACCCTAACCAAAATTTTTTTGAATGCCAGAAGAGTAGCAAACCTTTATATCTGCGCCACTCAATTCGTCTTTAGCGGCAATAAATTCATCGAGGTTGACATCATCGGCTAATGTCATTCGCGACGTATGGATCTGAAAGATGCGTCGTTTCGTTTTCTCATCCGGTAGCGGGAACTCAATCTTGCGATCGATACGGCCAGGTCGTATCAGCGCCGGATCCAACGAATCAATTCGATTAGTCGCCATCAGTACCTCAACAGAAAGATGTGAGAAGCAATCTGAATTTCAACATATAAACACGGTTCACAATCAGCACCAGGATTTGCAGCTTGTTTAGTTAACTGCTTAAAAAGTGATTTGTGATTTTTGTTTTCCACCTCCGATCAATGCAGAGTTACAGCCTGTGACACGCACTGGCTCCGTGCTTGTGCGAATCATCAGCCGAGAGTTGAACTCGAAAACTGAAATACCTTCACATCACCACGTGAATCGAAACCATCCAACTGATTAAGCAGCTCAAGCATGGTGCGTTGGATTTCGCGCTCGCCGCCAGAATTCGAATCGTACCTTTTCGTACCAATAGCATCAATTTCATCGATGAACACGATTGACTAAACATGCCGCTGCATTCA